TCTCTCAAGTCCAACGGAAGACCTCCTTCTCTCCGTTCAATGAGCAGTCGGAGATCGCGGCGAAGCCAGAGTCTGAGCTCTGTTGGACGATCATATGCATCCGCAAGCAACTTTACGATAGACATATATATGGACCAGCCGCGGCGCAGCCGGACCATCTCTGAGTCCGACAGATCTCGAGCCGGCGACCCGCGAACGGCCGATTTTCCGCCGTATATTCCTAGACGGTCATCATCTCTTTCCGCTCCTACCAGTCGCAACGTGTCGAGGACCGGCTCTCTCACCGCCGAAAGCCTCCGAGCTCATGATGCGCTTTATGAGCAACACAAGGCTTCGCAGACGGTTGAACGGGCAGTGGAGAGACTACAGAGGGAAAAGCGACCACCTCCGAAGCCGGTAAATACCTCCAGACACTACCGCAAGACGGTTGACGGAAATGAATTGGAGCCAGAGCGACGCCAATCTGGAACCATCAATATCAAGTTCTCTCCTTCGATTCAGTCAAGCAACTTTGACAACAGTGACCCGCGAACGCCGCGTAGCTTTCCTGCTGATCACAATGATGATGGAGGTCCTCGTCATAGTTGCGAATACAACAAGAGGAATTCCGTCCAACACACACCTTTCTCGCAAGCCTCCGTCGAGACGGGCGCCTCACATGCCGAAGTGTCCGAAGCGAGGGCGATACTCATCCACACGCATCAGAACACGTCTGTGATGATTGTAGACCACTCGAGCAAGCCGTCCGAGGCCTCTTCGTTGGATCGTCAGAGGCTTCCTCCAACGGCCACCCCCGCCATTGCCGCAACAGATGCCGAAGGAAATCCCCTAATACCGCCACAGGATCTCTCGAGGGAAGATGACAATTTCTCCCCCTTGAGGAACCCGAGAGCACCCCCAAAACCGCCACCGGCCATCAACTTCATCCCGGCAACGCCTTCTGGCCTGACACCTACTACGGAAAGACAGAAGGAGCTTGGGAATTTCTACGATGACATGCCCGAGTCAGGGGAGCCGAAACCCGAGAGCGGATTCGCCATGCTCCGCCGGAAGCTGAGCCGTCGCCGAACCTCCGAGACAACTGGCACTCGTCCGGGTTTCCTTACTCGCACATTTTCCTTGTCAAAGTACACCAAAAATTACGAGTCAGATGGTGGCAGCAGCGGTAGGTTGAAGAGACCCCACCTGAAGAGGTCCTTCACGGCCGATGACGCCCCCGTCGAGCCAGACAAACTGCATCCCGACTGGCGACCATCCTACCAATCTGATTTCTCCGACAGCGGAAGTGAAGACGAGGAGCACTGGGACTACCCGCCCATCGACAACCGTCCCCAACGGCCCGGTCTGATGCTCAAGCGGAGCTTGAGCCAGCGGATGAAGAAGGCATTCGCCATCATGCCCCTGCGCAACGGCTCAAAGTACGACGCCACATACTCAACAGACAGCGGCGACATGCCCGACCGGGACAAACGGACCATCCGACGCACGCCGAGCGGTAATCTGCGGGTCATGAAGATCCGACAAAGCCTCGAGTCTATGGCACAGTCCATGGCACGGCCATCCATCTCATCCGAAAGACCCACCAGACCGTCCATCTCCTCGCCATCGGATACATCCCGACCGTCGATCTCTACCGAAGCACCTCCTCGACCATCCATCTCGCCCGACTCAAGCTCAACCCGGCCCTCTATGTCATCCGAAAACCCACGCTTCTACCCGCCCCGCGTCCGTCGAAACTACGGTGCTCTCTTCCAGCGCCAACGACCACCTCCTCCCGCTGCTGCCATGTCAGCAGCGCCACCCCTAACCCCCTCGTCTGTATCCACCTTTGCGACCGGCCAGTCTGTATCCCCACCCATTACTACTACGGCCGCGCCTGTACCACCGCCCATGAAAAGACGTGGCAGTCTTAGCGAGAAGATTATACCTGTCTTGAACGAAAAGGTCAACATTGTGCGGAGGATGAGCGAGAAGCGGAAGGAGAGGAAGAGGGATGAGATGCGGAAGACGATAAGTCACCCAAGAGTGGTCAGGGACGGGTTGGGGGAGGTGATCAAGCATGATACAGGGAGAGAGATTTTTGCGATGAGTCAGGGTCAGCCTCAGCCGCAGCAGGGACAGAGGCAGTCACCGCCTGCTGTCAGGGGGTCGCCGCCTAGGTTAGGGAGGGGGTCACCTATCTGATTTTGAAGATTGTGGAATTGATTGGGCATGAGAAACACAAATGCATGAAGCCGTCACCAGAGCGCACAAAAAAGAACCACCAACGCCACGAAAAGAAGACAAGAGGTCATAGAATCATGTTGATCATGAAGGTACCAAAAGAAGAAGAAGGGTCATGGTTACGATACGAATTTGTTACGCGGTACGAAACGAAACAACTGAAACAACAAGAGAACACGGCAATGAGAGTATGACCTGATGAAACCACGACGAAGACACCTACACTCATACACACCCACATTCACATCATCCAAATCGGCATCACTCCTTTCTTTTTTTCTTTTTTTCTTCTTGGGCATGTCGTCCCCTTTTGTTTTCGAAGGGCGGAGTTCGATTTCACAAAACTTTGCTACATATACCACTTCTCTTATCGTTGTCTTGTAGCTCGCTCCTTTCCATGCATTTTCCTAAGCCGTTCAGCGCTTACCTAGGTGCAGGGGAAGTGATGACAAAACAAGAACCCTACTTGAAATCTAGCATAAGGGAAGAAAGGGGCGGGCGGGCGGGCTGTGATTTTCAAACGTTTACATACCTTATATATATTCTTGTATGATTTCTTGTTTCTCTCAAGTTTCTTTGTTTAATTTTCTTCTCTCTCTTGTGGTTTCAAGCGATGACGGTGGCACGGGTGATTAAGAAGACATTTTCTTTTCTTGTGATGGCAGTTATCAGATTATGATGATCATGAATGAAACGTTGATAGAGGAGAGGGGTATTTGAGGTTTTCGACGGTTCTAGGTGGTACCAACCATATTTATGTATAAGGAAATGGACAGCGACATGTAATGACATGATTAAGGTGGAAGAGGGAGGTTTGGGCATAAAATGCACCGATCCATTCATATTAATCTAGGTAACTCTGAAGTTCTTTTTTTTTTTCAAATGATGCTTTTCAAAATGATTTTGTCTGATCTGTTTTCTTCCAAGTGTCGTCGTATATTTTTCTTCTTCTTTTTCTCGTTTTCCCAGTTACGATATCTTTCACATCAGGTGATTAGGAAACATGGTTCGAGCGCTTATAGAGGGAGCGACCTAACTCTCTTAGTGTGTGGATATGAAGTGACAAGAAAATTGAACACTGATCCCATTCCCGTAGGCATATTGTAGCGACCTCCCATACATACATAGCAAAATCCCAGTCAGTTATCACAGAGACATGTTTTTTTTTTTTAACTGAGGAAGAAAAGAAAAAGATTCCCATTCGGAAATCAGATAACCCGAAGAAAGACCGTCTCAGGTACTTACGCATGTGAAGAAAATGTCAAGTAGAAAGGAGCTCAACTATTGAATATACGGGTGCGTGCGAAAGAGGGACAACTCCAGCGGAAAGTCCCAAAGTCAGTCAGTCCGTTTGCGGACCGTAGCTATGTACGTACCAACGTCATCGGCATGTTGATGCTTCGCGGGCCGTTTTCGGCAGAGTGCCGAGCGCCGAGCACGCCGCCCACATAAGTAAGACCAAGCCACTGCCGTTGGTATTTTTAGTTGCTTTTGGGTCTTAAGTCCTGCAATAGTGATAGGCACATTCCAATCAACTAACATGAGCATACCCATTCGTGGTGGATAGCTGATAGTGGCTACACAGAGTTATGACAGTAGTGGTAGTAGCAATGTCTAGTGTTATACTCCGATTGCGGTCAAAAAAGATTCGAGGACGGGGACGGCGGAAAGATACCGCCCGAGATTGCAAGACACTCGACGATAGCATCACGAATATTACCTAGTTTGAGACGAAAACCGCCAGCAACTTCAGCGACTTCTGCCTGAAGACCGCAGACAGCCATATAGCATTCATGACTTTTACAGTCGAGCACCGGTTCTGGTAAAAAAAAAAATACTTGAGGAACGCACTATAGTTAAGTGACCAGAGGCGATACACTCCAGATGGCCGCCCGCTCTTGACTCCTGACTGCCGGGAGCAAAACATGGTCTAGAACTATTACCTTTCTAACCCACATAGCTTAATCGAGCTTTGATTTCTATTCTTGTAAACATGGACCCTCCGTAAACGGCGACCTATTCTTCTTCAGGGCATGCCGATGGTGTCGCTAATGAGTTGTGAACGGCCTCCAGCCTGACGCTCTAGCATCGAAAGACGAAAAATCGTTCAGCTCGGTCGTCGAGGTCAGGTAAGTGCCGGGTTAGGAATCGCTCGCACGTACAATGTGCTGATAGGGTAGTTGTCAGAGTGTTTAGTACTTGGCCTTTGTTTGCAGAGCTTTTTCAAGACAGCACTGCCTATTGCGTACATACATAGGTACCTACTTGCTCCTCTTACCTCGGGTATGTAACGTTGTCATGCTATGCTGCGCAACGCCCCGACTGATTGCTTGCTATATACGATAGTGAAAATCAGAAAATGCTTTGTTCTCGAGGTCGTGCCAGTGGCTGACTGGACGTTCGGAAACGGGGAGGGGGGGGGGGCATCGAGGATTTTCAATATGCCGTCTTCGTCATCATAGGAGCCATGGCCGTCCATCCCTGGGAGCTCTCTCGTTGGGGCCCATGTCTCTAGTGGTCTTCGAAAGGGGAAGTTCCCTCTTATAAAGGGTGATCTTGTTCTCCGACTTTGGACTTCCTTCTTCATCGACATCAGGTTCCTCATCATCTTGACCTTTACTGTCATATGCTTGTCTAACCCAGCTCGCTGCTCCCGATCTACCTATCTCGTCAACATCACTCGCTTGTTGGCTGTTGTCTTCCTTCTAAACATCACTGAGTTTGTACTCTTCTGAAGCACCTCAACTCCCAGGAGAAAAGTCAGGATCCCGGCCAAAATGAAGACGTTCACTACCTTCGCCTCACTGGTGGCCTCGGCTACTTTCGCCAACGCTCAGGGACTCTATATCGACCTCGAAGGTCGAGCCAGATGCACCATTCCCAACGCCTCCTACTGTTCCGGCCCTTACATCGTCCAATGCGACGGAACCCTTGCTCTTGATAGAGTGAACTGCAACGCCGTAAGTGTCACCTGCACCCCCCGTGCCTAGGTACCTCAATCAGCTAACATGAGAAACGACAGATTCTGGTTGAAGCAGCCCCCGCTGGCAACGACGGTCAAGCCACCTGCTGGGAGTCTTCCGCCGTCAGCGGCAATGCCGCCTGCCAGAAGAACTGCCGCGTCTATGCTGTCCCGGCCCCGTTTAACTTGGCGCCTGATGAGTGCACCCCTTACTTCCCCAGGACTACCACCCCTGCCCCAACCATTCCTCCAACCAGTACTTCTACTACAGCCACTGGTGCTGTCTCTACTACGGGCACTACCACTGTCACTACCACTGCCACTACCACTGCCACCACTACGGGTACTACCACTGCCTCCAACACCAACACCGATACCAATACCAACAGCGCCCCTACCCTCCCGCCACCCACCACCCGCCAACCCTCCACCACCACCTCCGCCTCTTCAACCTGGGACCACCACCACTGGACCAAGTCCCACGGCCCTTGGCCAGAGTGGACCACCACTGCTTCGGCCTCCGCTTCCGCTTCCGCATCCGCATCCGCCTCCGCCGCCCCGACCCGCGCTCCCCATCCCGGCCCCTGGACCAAGAAACCTTGGCCTAGTCACAAGACCAAGTGGGAGACTTCCACTGATTGCGAGACTGACACTGTTACCGCTACCGCTGCTCCGGTTACCACTTTGCCTACCAAGGTTCCGGTGCCGGTGCCGGTGCCGGTTCCCACTACTCTGACAACTCAGGTTCCGGCTCCGCCTCCGAACCCGCCTGTTGTTGTTCCCACGCCTCCGAGCCCGACTGTTGTTGTGCCCACCACACCTCCGGCAAGCGAGACGTCCGCTGCCTCACCTATTGGTGTCTCGCCGCCGCCCGTGGTGACGGCTGGTGCACAGAAGATGAAGAAGACTGCTACGGCGGGATTGATGATTGTCGGTGGGGTTGTGTTTTGGTTTCTTTGAGTTTCTGCCGAGTTGGATATGATGGAATAATGGTATGGGAGAGAAACGTCTGGGGTTTTGTTTTTGTTTCTGCTTGTTGTGAAGGAGGATATGAATGGGTTGTTCGCGCTGCTTTGAATATTGTGGCGAGTGTTGATAATTGTAATGGCAGAAAGAGGAGGAGAATGAGGACGAAAGGGAACGACTAGATCAGATAATCAGGTAATCTTTCTAAAACATAAAAGATGAACCAAGATTCAAGTGCTTCGTTTGAACGTGACTTTGCTTGGTCTCTTTTGGTTTTGGTGGAAAATGACTTTGCTGCCCCGAGGAAATTCGTTTTTTTTCGAGGGAAAAAGGAGTGAGGAGGCCGTAAGAATTGTTGAAAGAAAGCAGTTGAAAGGCTGAGGGCCAGGTTCAAACATGAATTCCTCGTAGTTACCAGAGTTCCGATCAGACATCTGGCTTCCAGGTTGACTTTTGTCGACAGCTGCTTTCCCTGGGGTAAGTGGTTCCTTCTTGTTCCAAAGACGGCCTCCTTCCACGCGAGCGATCTCCTCTGCAGAGGCACATTTCCGTAGGCACGTTCCTACCTGATGGCCCCGCGATGGTATGGACCTGCATCCCTCGGTCCCGACAAGGTGTCTGTTGGCGGCTGTTCACTTGAACCAGTCAGTGCTTGAGGGTTAGGAGTATGTGATCTGTAGTCTCCACGATACTAAAGCAAACATTGTTCGCCGGTGTTTATGGCGAGAGGAACTGCAAAGTGAGCAGTTGATGAACCTTTCCGGTCTACGCCGTCACCTTCGTACTCAGCTCAATAGAGTCAACACGTAATCTATCCGGAGCTAATTATGGATGCATGAGGTGCTGTGGTGCAAAGGGGGGTCGCATTCGGTCCCGGCACAACGGGCTAATAACAGGGACCTGTCAGCCAATAGTGTACCTCTATGGTAATTTCCTATAGTCGTTATCAGTCCAAAGTCGTCACGGTGGAGAGCCTTTGGATACCTAAGTAGTGTCGGTAATATCGGCCATATCCTCCGTGTTCGTGATAGGTAAGGTATGGTTGATGTGTTTTCTTTTGGATCTTTGTTACCATTTGGAGGGTGGTGGTGATGGCTGGCTGACGTTGATTTCGGCTAGCTGGTCGGCGTAAACAAACACCCAGTAAGGAACATCCCTGAACGCCACTGAGCGCCTCCTCCTCCTGATGCCGGGCCCAGGCGGCGTTGTTGCCGCTGCAACCCTCTTTTCCCCCCGGGCCGCTGTTTGTCCCCGGGCAGATACCGCATGGATTAGGTCAGCTCCCACTTTCCGGCACTCACCCTCTTCTTCACAAGTCCATGAAACGCGATGCCTGATCTGCAACATCTCCAGCGTTCGGTTCATCATGGCTACCCGGTCGCTTTGGTGATCGACTCTGATAAGCGAACAACTTTAACAGCTTTGGCGCGCCGGTTGCGGCTCTTCTTGTAAATGGTCTTGGGAGGCAATGATCAACATTCACATGAAAGACCCCAATATCACCGAGCAGTGTGGAAGTCATCAATCAACACACAAACATTTTCAATCATCACTTTTAATGCGTTGCATTGACATCTCCTTGAGAACCTTCCACTTAACAATCATTTTATTGATGGGCCCACCGGGCGTTAGTGGGGCTACGCTCGTACACTAATGTAGCAGTGGGCGCCGTTGGCGAGACTCACCAGGACCGCCGAGATGCCCCTGGACCCCCACAAAACGAATTAAGGACTTCACGCCAGACCTTGCTTACAAGTCCTGAACTTCTTCCGTCGTTCCAATCTTGACTGCGCCTCCGCGAGAGCGAGCTGTGAATCCGGGACTCCCTTCTCTCGATGCCCCAGGTTCACCTAGGTCCCATACGAACGATCCATACCCACATGGCCATACAGTACACTTCCCAAAATGGCACCACACTAGTGTATTCACGATGACTGAGCGCACTCACTCACCACTGTTGCATTCTCCCCTTTTCTCGGCGCCGCCAGTTGGTGATGAGATGCTGGCACTCACATACATATCAAAGCTTATCCCAGACAGCCAATGGGACAAGGGCAACTTTGCTTGCGCCTTTCGGCCTCCCCCTCCATGAGACCCTGTTCTTGCAGTTGGACCATCTCGTTCCCTAGCTTCCTGTCCACTCCCGGCCCTCCTCCTCTTCCCTTCTAAGAACTCCGGCCAACCAATCAAAGCATGAGAAAGTCTGACATGCATTCACTGCATAGTGGCCATCCATCTGGAAAAGATCTCCTAGTCTTGAAACTCAAGAGAAAAAAGATGGGCGAGACGGCATCATATCTCTGACAGAACCTGCCGAGCCTCTGTCCAGGCATGAATGACCGTCAAGGGAAGCCGGCCTCTTCTTCTGAAAAGAGGGCCCGTGTCGACCATGATGCTTCTCTTGGCATCTTGCTGTTGCCTGCTCGCCTGCGCTCTTCTGTCCACCAGCTTAGCCATTCAGGGCAAAAGGGCCATCCAGGGTCTGACTGACGACGCTTTCGTTGTGAAAACTGACGACAATGCAGCGCCTGTCCTCAACAGGCCTATATGAGCCGCCGATATGCTCCCAGGTACCGTGGGCGGATCCGTAGCTTACCCCTGACAATACTACCCCGAGTCTGGACCATCCACCTCAGTGTTGCCCTTTTCAGCACGAATCTCCGGTTAGCGATGCCCCATGTTGGTCCACCGTATCAGCCTCAACAGGCCTGGGGAGGACCTCTCCGTTCCTAGGTCCCGCTCGGCTAGATGTGCCCTTCCAATGTGTTGGGTAAGAACGTACAACCGCGCGTGTCAGAACAAAAAGCCCAAAGCCCCCCCAAGATGGATGATCTTTTTCTTCTCTTCTTTTGGTGCCCCATCAGCCAAGACTATCTCTTTGCTGCTTCAGTAGCTACTCTATTCTCAGAGCATTTCTTTTTGCTCGTCCTCTGACGTATCGTACGTCAAGTCCACTCATTTTTTCAGTAATCACTGTCACTCTTTTGGACGGTCATGGCTCCGTCTATGTTCAAGCTGGGTGCTGTTGCCCTGGCTTATACCTTTGGTGTTTCTGCCCTTAGCTCTCCTGCCTCAGGCAAGACCTATCAGCTGTCTGAGTCTTATAACTCGGCTAACTTTGCCGAAAAGTTCAATTTCTTTGAGGTAAGAACCTATGAGACGATTACATGACAAGAATATTGCTGACGATATCTTGAAATGTAGGGTGGCCACGATGAGAAGGTGAAGGATCCCAACAGTGGGTTTGTCAAATACCTGGGCAAGGATGCGGCAGTGTCCTCGGGTTTGTTCAAGACCGAAGGCGATGATGTCCGCATTGGTGTCGATAGCACGACTTCCGGTGTCGCCGGACGTAAGAGTGTCCGTCTCGAGAGTACCGCCACATACAACAACGGTCTGTTTATTGCCAAGTTCAGCCACTTCCCCAAGCCTGTATGTGGTGCTTGGCCCGCTTTCTGGATGGTCGGCGACAACTGGCCCGAGGACGGTGAAGTCGACATTTACGAGATGTGGTCACTGTCCGATCGAAACATGATTACCTACCACACCGGGAAGCCTGATAAGGTTGGCGAGTGCCTGCTCGACCCTGATACACACACTGAGGTTTCCCAGACCTTCAACTGCGACAACTCCGCTTTAGGCCAGTGGGTCAACCAGGGCTGTGGTGTGATGGAGAGTACAGGCCAATGGGGCAACCCCGAGGGTGGTGTTTGTGAGTAAACTCGTCTTTCTAACTTCGGGTATTAAGAACTGTGCTAAATCATCACGTTTAGATGCTTTCGAATGGACCGACGAACATCTCAGTGTCTGGAGCTGGGCCACCGAGCCCGCCGACATCGAGAACGGAACTCCCGACCCCGCGACCTGGGGTAAGCCGCACATGTCGGTTACCAGCAAGACCTGCGATGTTGAGAGGGGTTTCAAGGACCTCCGTTTCATCCTCAACATCAACTTCTGCGGTGATGCTGCTGGACCGCAGTTCGGTAATGATGCCAGGTGCGCTGCCAAGGCCAATTCTTGCGACGCATATGTCTCGAACAACCCCCAGGATTTCGAGGATGTCTACTGGAAGATCAAGTACATCGACGTCTACCAGCTCCAGCAGGCCCTTCCTTCCACCACTTCGTCTGCCATCTCTTCGAGCACCACTTCTTCCGCCATCTCTTCGAGCACCACTTCTTCCGCCATCAGCTCTACCGTGACCTCCAGTTTCGTCTCTGTCGTCTCTAGCTCGGCCGTTTCCAGCTCCGAGGTTGTTTCCTCTAGCTCTGCCGTTGTTTCCGCTTCCGCTTCCGCTGTCCGCAGCCCCGAGGTCGTTTCCGGCACCAAAATCTTCAGCAACATCGCCTCCACCTCCGTTGTTGCCTCCGGCTCCGACGTAGTCTCTATCACCGCCACCTCTTCCGCGGCTCTCCCTTCTGGGACTAACGGCACTACCGACTGCGATGACGAAGACGAGGGTGAAAATGACGATTACTCTGGCATTTTTGCCCCCGGTGGTAGTGCCACCGAGACCGGCAGTTCTCCCGTGATCACTTCTGCCCCCAGTGGTCCTTCCGCCGGTTTCCACGGCAACTCCTCCACTGGCGTCGGCATCTTCCCCAACAGCACCATCACTGCTCCCCAGGAGTGGACCACCTCCACCGTCTACGCGACCAGCTACTACACCGTCACCTCTTGCGCTGCTACCGTAACCAACTGCCCTGCTCGCGTCGTCACCTCCGTCATTGCCATCTCCACCACCGTCTGCCCCGTCACCCAGCATCCCGCTCCTACCAACGCTCCCGGCGGCGGTAACGGTGTCCCTGTTGTTTCCGGCGGCTCTAACAACGGCAATGGCAATGGTGAGGGTGTCCCCCCTGCGGCCACCGGCAGCGCTCCCAGCACTGGCTCCGGCTCCGGCTCCGGCTCCGGCTCTAGTGAGGTGCCTGTCCCCTCTGGAAGCGCTCCTGGCTCTGGCAACGGTACCGGCAACGGTAACGGCTCTGGCCCCCTCCCCACCGTTACCCTCCCCGGCAACAACAACGGCGCTGTCGACAGCACTTTCTCCGCTCCTCTCGTTTCCAACACCGGCCTTCCTGACAGCCCCGCCGGCAGCTCTTCTTCTTCCCATTATAGCCTGTCTATCGCCCAGCCTCCTCTCGCTACTGCTACTGAGGATGCGCCCGTGATCGCTGGTGCAGGCAAGAACGCTTTAATGAGTGTCGGTGTGGCTGGTGTTGTCGCTGGTGTTGCTGCTTTGCTTGCTCTTTAAATAAAG